CCAACTCTAAAAGAAATAGAATTTGAAACTGAGTGTGCTGATTGGTTGCGTTTTGGCAAGCAACGACTTGATCGACAGAAGATAAGAGAAGAGAAACATTGTTTTAAAGAGATGTAGATTCAACATCTACACGTATATTCAAGATTGCTCTGATTTTCTTGATCACCACTAAATGGAAAACAAAAATCTCTTTTAATGATTGAATGCTTTGTCCATCCTAATTACAAGACCAAGTGATAAATAGAGAATCCTACAGACAAATTATACTCTTTTAATTCAGGAAACTCTCAATCATTAAAAAACATAAAATTTTTTTGCTTCCGTTAGTAGTACGCAAAGTTACTACTTAATATAGATATTATTTAAAGGCATATTATTCATATATAATTAATATAAAAAGAATTATAATAGCGTCACGCTAATTACGCTTGATCATTTATTTGCTCAATATTTTGTTTAAGTTTTTGATTGCCTAGAGTCCTCATGATATTTTATTTTTTTTTTATAATTAATTTAACTTAGATTGTATTAAAATCAGTTTGATCGATTTGGAATATAATAGAAATTGACGGCACTCTACTCTTTCATTTAAGTAAATGTATACTTAAAACGTAATCAGACTTTTTAATTTTTATATTTTGCAAATTTTGAAAAATATTGATGATTACTATTCGCATCTTGTGAATACTTAAGTTACAGCAAATGTTCAACGAGCTGTTTTATTTTAATAACAGAGCCGAATTATTTCTTGATTGAAAGTCTTTGTACTACGCTCAAGGTGCTTATGTAAATTAATCGTACATTAGAATTAAGATAGAGCTGATTTTCTTCTCGTAAAGTATTTCACAGTATTTAATTTTGTTTAGTTTAAGTTATCGTACTATATAAAACAATGCCAAAGAAAAGTATTCAATATTTATCACAACGCAGAAAGCGTCAATTAATTTCTTTTCATTCAAATCATATTATAATAAATCTTGTAATGTAAGTAATGATGAATCTTTAATTGAGAATTTGTCATTGTCGCTTTCTCCAGTTGTAAACAGTGAGTCATATAATTCTACAGCTGAGGAAATAACTCGTGAACTGAATGTCATAACTCATAATGAAGAATTGACTAATAGTCAAATAGTTCAGGAATTATTAACATGTAATATTGAAAATGTTAAAACAAATAATATTCATGACAATGATGATCAATGGTTGATTCAGAATGATTCTTTTCTCGTAAATGATGAAAATAATAGTTATTTGAACACATGTAGTACAAATATTTCATCAAAAGAACTTAACTGACGATTTGAGAGTATATATATACTTCAAATTTTCAAATATCTCTATCTGCTATTAGTGCATTGCTGACGATTTTACGTGAACATAATCAATTTGATCTTCCTCGAGACGCTAGAACCTTAAAAATAAACAAATTTCCTATGGAAATGGTGGTGCATATATGCATTTTGGATTAGAAAATGGTTTGAAACGTTCAATTATTAGATACTTTAAAATTTATCCCGATATGATTAGTATTCAATTAAATTGCGACGGAGCTTCTAGATCGATAAGTTCAACTAGTCAATTCTGGCCATTATTAATTGCTATTAAAAGTGATTGTTATACGGAACCATTTTTAGTAGGCATTTTTCATGGCTATTCAAAACCGAAAGATGTTAACATTTTCCTTCTTCCATTTGTGAATGACATGAAAAATACACTTCTCAACAAAATTAAAGCATCACTTACTGTACCCTCCAAAAATAGGCAAAATTCAAGAGAATGTAACTTCGTAAAAAATGATCGTATCGAGATGTTCAAAAAAGCATTTTACAGCTTGAAATCTCTACTTTCCAAATCGGTACTTGAGAAAACGATCCTGCTGATTTTTCATGGAATTACACGGATAGAACTGTCTCTTATACA